ATTGAAATTATACAATCACACAATTACCTCAAAAAATAGTTCTAAGCCGAAGTTCGAGATATGAAATCGATTGTATCCTCTAAGAAGTTTTTCATTAGTCTTTGAAGATTTCTGATTAAATAAAAATTTTGTAACTGATATGAAATTTCCTAATGAGAAAAATGAAATTCTCATCTCTATATGACTTGTAATACATTAAAATTTATCGAACATCAAGGTATCTTTTTTTTTCTTTTCTTTAAGATATTACATATCTTTTATCTTTATGTGAATACGGTGATCTACATTTACGTGGTGCATGTGCAAATTTACTTGTTACATTAATTCAAACAACAAATCATCTTTTAACACTATCATCATTATCAAATTCATTTAATAATTCTTTTATTAATCAATGTTCACTTGTATCAACTGATTCACAAGTCAATTCAAGGTTATATGTCTTAATGATAATAATGCACGTGTTATACATATTTCACTAAATGCTTTACGAACATTATTACCTTTAATAGTCATGCATTTACAATCATAGAAATTGAATTATTAGAAGATTCTATTCAACATACTACAAGTGCCTATGTTCTTGCTAAAGTAGCTAAAACAAAAATATGATTATAATAATTTGTTTTTTGTATGTATATAAAATAGTTTGCTCTAGTTCAATTTATAGATGACATTGATTTTCGAATATTAACTTATCTTGAACAACAACAATTAAAACAACAGTACCCTGATATACGTGTTCGTCAAGCAACTGCTTCGACTTTTGCTAAGTATGCATTTTGTAGAGATATTAACTAGGTAGTTTTTTTCGAATTTGAATGATTAAGTCGATTTTATTGAATTAAGTTAGTTATTAGCTACTTTTTGATTTTAAAGTTTTGTTGATCACAATTCATTTTTACCATGTCAATGGATATATAAAATTCATCATTCATTACAAGCTCAAGCATCAACTCGAATACAAATTGTTTGTCATTTTTGTCTTTTATATAGGTTGGATGTTTAGAAGATATTTATGTTCTTTCAAATGTTTTAAGACCAACAACAATTCGACCAATTTTTTCATAATCAATATGATGAACTTCGTTTATTTATAAATTTTTTTAAACATTCCTTTATATTACATGATCTTAAGAATTTAATCTTTTCAAGTAAAGAGAAAAAAAAGATATTTATAATGTTTTTTTTTGAATTCTTTCTTTTTATTTGAAGATTTATCAAATCTCAACAAATGAAAAAATGTTTTGAAAGTAGCACAACGGATTCAAGTAATTGGAAAACTGAACTATTTTATTACCGTTCTCGAACTATTGCAAAAATATTCACAATCATCATTCTTTTGGACAGAATATAGTTGATATTTCAGTTTTCACAGAAGTTCCAATGTTTTAGATTTGAAGAATATATTTCATCATGTTTCGTCTGAATGAATTCATTTGATTTTCTTTTTAAATAGAATGAAAAAGATTCATCAACAACATCAAACACAGACAAAGTTAAAAAAGTTAATCATACACAATTAGGTACTTTTGGAAATTATTCAAATTAATACGTTCATCATATCAAATACATAAAAGTTTATTAAATTCATCAGAAATGATCATTATTGTCTATGAAATCAGTTTTAAGTCTTATTTCTACACAAGATTTATCAAAAAATTTGGAAGAAACACTTAATTATTTTAAAGAAAATTTCAACTATTAATGTTTCTTATTCATTGGTTAAGCTAAAACCTTTAGGATGTCGTATTGTGTCTGAAACTTGTCTATGGATAAAACTTTAGATGGAAATCTTATAACGAAGGTTTCTGGAAGGGTCTTTCCTTGAGAAGGAAAATTTCAATATAAGAATGTCATAGTAATAGAAAAACTGATTTTACAAATATCGATGATCTTAACGAGATTAGTTTTGTTGTGAAAGTGTCAGATCTTTTGATTCGGTTCTATCTTGAAATTCGAATATTAAATCATCTAGTTTACGTCAGTGATCTGCAAGACACGCTATCAATTCGAAATTTGAAAATCACTTTTTCTGTTAACACAACATTCATTTAAAAATATTCTTTTCATTTAGTTTTTAGTAAATCTTCAAATGTTTCTTCACAAGTATCATTAGATAATTCTTTAACTTATATTTATACAATAAGTATTCGACAACCGATAATTTATTTTATTTGGTTCACGTTATGCATCAAGTATAAATAGTGCAATACGACAGTAAAATGAACAAAAAAAACGAATTTGATTTATTCTGTCCGTTTTTTTGTTTTCTATTTTAGTTTTTATTAAACTAAAAAACCAGTCGTAAAAAATATATCAATAGAAGTGAAAGTGATTTTCAAGCTACTGTACTCAATTTACTTGTTCAATTACTTTTAATGCGTGTTAATTATAGTTGATTAGAAGCTGATGAAATTCGTTGCATTTCTAATCGTTTCGTTTATTTTTAAATAGCATTTTATTTTTTGTATTGCTGAATTTCTTGTTATGTTATCACATGATACACTTCATTCAAAACGAGTTATTAACATACAAGATTTAATAAAACATTATGATTCATTATTAGCAAGTGGACATGAACCTGAAACACATGGTAGGAAGCAATAAAAAACATTTTCGAGAAAAATAAATTATCGTTAAAATTCTTTATTTAGCTTTGGCAGCATTAAAACTAGTTTTATATGATTTTTTTTCTTGTTCGAATTATGCAAATAATTAAAATTCCTAAAAAGTTTTATTAAATGAGAGTGAACAAAAAATGTCCTTCTATAAAGTCTCAAATATCTTAGAAACTCGAGAGAGTGTGAGTGTGGATGTGTATATGTAATTTTTCTCCTCGATTGAACCCACACCCACACTTCAACGAATTGATGATCTGAAAATAATCATCTTGTTGTTATGTATTTGAGTTTGAAGGAAAACTAGGCGTCTTAATTATTATAAATAAAAGTATCTTTTCGTGTCATGTGTATGTACTGAAAAAATAGTAATAGAATTTATATTGTTATAGGTTTTACGATTGTTCATAGTTATTGTTAATAGTGTTCAAATTGAAGATGATAAATGGAAACGTCTTTCACGACAAATTGTCGATTTACTTCTTGCTCATTTACAATCTCAAGTTATTTTTTTGTTCAAATAGGATCAATCACTTTTGGATATTTATCCCACACAATTAACACTATTTGATGTTGTCTCATCAGTTGCATTACGATCAATTGATCCATTTGTTGTTGCTTTTCGAGCATTAGTAAATAGATATGTCCGTTGTTTTTATTTATAAAATCTTCCTGTAGCTTAAAATTCTTTAGAATGTCAATTGTCAATCTACAAATCGATAGTTAGTCAATATAAATATAATACTTCGATATCTTGTACAAAATTTAACTGAAGATGCTATATTAACACGATAGAATGATGTTTTATTATCAGTTAATGGAACACGAGATGAAACTTTTAGTGCGTAGGTATTCGAAATGATTTTATTTATAATTTAAAAACTATTATTCTCGCTTTTGTTTTCAGAACTCTTCTTCATGTTTTACATGACATAATATTATGAATTTTAACTAATACTCGACAATTATGTGGTCAAATCAATATGACATTAGTTTCTCTTGCATCCGATTATCTTTATGTACATATCACCCATTAATTTGAAGATAAAACTTTCCTGCAATTCATTAATTACTAATGACCTAGCGAAAAACATTTGGCTTTAAAATTCCTATGCTTATATAAGATCTATGATTTTATTTTAGTTAAATTATTTCGAACAATTGTAAATGATTTTCGTCAATTATGAATTCATGATGAAACTGTACATCGTCTTGATACATTTTCATATTTAACTATTTTAAATGAATGTTTTAAATTATTATGATCATCATTCTATATTTCATTATTATTACAATGGGCACATATTCTGAATATACTTGATTATATACAAGAAGCATGCTGGTCACCAATATTAACACCATCATCATTAATAACACATTTATCTATAAGTAGTCAATTACAATCTTATTGTGAGTTAATATGTCATCATGAATTATATGTTGAACATTTTACATCAATAACAACACATTATCAATTATTATTATTATTTTTTATTGAACAAAGTGATACATGCACATATGTACATAATTTATTTGATCTTATACATCATACATCAGTTGCAAGTCATTTATTCGTTTGTGAAGGAATACATTTATATGAAAGTGGTCTTATATTAGTTTTATTAATTGAACAATTTCTTCCATTACCATTAAATAAACAATTATGACCTAAATATATACCATTAATTTTATAAATATTATCAATAACAATATCAATCGATATTATTACAGAAGATTTTAATAATCTTAGTTGTCATATGAATATAACAAGAAAAATTTATGAACAAATGTTTAAAAATGTAACTTATAAAAACTGATTACCATTTATGATGTCATCGGTATGTTTTAGTTTAATTTATCGAAATAAATAAATATATATGTATAATAAAAATTTTAATCCAATTAAAAGAAATTTTTTTGTTTTTACTTTGACATTGTTTATGTGCTAGTAATAGATGAGACTTTTGAATAATTCAAAATTTCGAAAAATATTTTGAAATAGAAAATATGCAGAATTTCAGGTAATACAAATCGTAAAGGAAAGCATTTAAGCTACATTAGTACAATGACCGAATAATTCCTCTCGAATCTTATTGATCAAATTCTCAGTCGTGCTATTTGTACTATTACAATTAAAGAAAACGACGTCTTTCTAATATTATATTTCGAAATAAATTGCATTCGAGAATTTCGATAAACTTTCTATAAGTTTGAACTCGTGAACTCCGAAAACGTATTAGATTTTTTCCACAGCATTAAATTTTTAGGATGACTCTCTTAGTAAATGAAAATTGATTTGAGAAAATAAGAAACAATATAAATCTGTTCTTTTTTTATTTTTCTTGGATTTTGTATAGTTATATCAAATGAAATAAATTAAAATGACATTGAAACAACACCTAATAAAATTTATGAAAAAAGTCTTTTATCATGCTTCTAATAATCAACCATATCCAATTGCATTCATAGATTCTCTATCAATATATTTTGATAAAATACAAAATCATGTTGAATTAACATGTCAATTTTCAACAGGTGATATACAAGATTTATTACGTTTTATAATATTTATATCTGAAATAATTTATATAAATATATTTCAAAAAAAAACATCATTTCTTAGTTGTGAAACAGATCAAATAATATCATGTTGTATGTTACCGAAAATACTATTATCAATATTTGAATATATTTATCAACGACATGGTTTAACTATATCAAATATATTATAATCATATATTAATTTAATTGAACCAGATAAAAGATCTTGTATTCAATTATTACTTTTATTATTTAATGATCTTGATCATCTTTATTATTTAACAAGAAAAATTAAATATGTATATACATATCATATATTTATTGACATGATTTATATTGTATCAAAGAGAAAATCTAGTGTTTCTCTGACTTTGATTTGATATATAATACATGCAAACTATCTTATTTCATAGAGATAAAAGTTTATATCAATAATTTCAAATATATTCTATCAATCAGAAAATTAGAGTATGGACATTTTCTTTGCTAGCATCTACCTTTAAAAATATATAATTTAGAGTTTATTTGATCACTTATTTTTTCATCATGGTTTTGATTTAACATTATCATTACAAATTCTAATTGAAATATATGTAATATGAATTAACAGGTTCAATTATATATCTATCTGATTTATTTCCATTATCATAACATTTATCAAATTTATATGATGAATATTTTTGTACATGGTTTGATGAAGATGATTTAATAATATCCTTAATAAGTTATAATTTATGTAAATCTAGTAGATTACTTGAACAAAGAACAAAAGAATATAATGAATTATATATACATTTAATTGAACGTAATTATAAATTAATAACTAAAACTCATGCATATGCATCATGTTTATTTTTACTTGAAATTCATGAAGCTGATTTAAATTCATATGATATTTTGTTATCATTAATTAAAGATGATAATTTAATACAAAAAATTATATCAATTAGTCTTGAAAAACTTTTAATAGTTGGTCAATATCCCAAAAATGATATATGGTGTTAATACTTTCACGTATTTATGCATTATTACAACGACCAAATAAAAATACAAATTCATTAAATAATGAACATGTTAATAAAGAACAAACAATAATTGACAGTTCATCAATAATATCATCATCAGATAATATTCTTATTGAACTTGTTGAAGAATTATATGCACGTACTAAACAATCATCAACATTAGCATATGAAGCTTTACTTTTATTACGTCCTTTATCATTATTACTTGCACACATTAGTTTTTTTTTCGTGCTTTAATTAATGCACGTTATTCAGCTAAAGTTAATGAATAGACTTTATAATCAATGACAAATATTACACAAAGAAAATCATTATGTATGGCTATATGGGGGTTAACATGTCTAATGTTAAGTGCATGTCTATCACAGGGTGTGGGTATGGATGAAGACAAGACCTATAATGATATCCACACCCACACCCTCTTATGAGTAAAATTCTGCCTATGGTTAAATATTCTTTCTAGTTTTCTTTTTAAAAATTATCAAGACTTACACATACAATTAAAATTTATTTGGAAAAGATAAATAGTA